ACGTAAGGCGTGGATGTCCTCTTCTCTGTCCCTCTTCTGGTTTGACAACTGTTTTGTTCCTGACGTGCAGAAATTCTGCGAGCAACAGAATGTTCCATTCAATATTTTGTTGCTCCTTGACAACGCACCTGGACACTCGCCCCTACTTATGGATCGTCACCCCAACGTAAAAGTGGTCTTCCTTCCTCCCAACACTACGTCATTAATCCAGCCCATGGACCAGGAGTTGATCTGCAATGTGAAAGCTGCGTACTCTGCAAAGAAGTTCAAGCTCCTGAACGACTCTACCAACACCAAGGATGAGTTGCGTAAGCTGGGCGACAGCGAGAGCAAAAGCGACGACGACAAGGAACAAGAGGCGGCGACTCAAGAACTTCTCGTCAAACAATTTTGGAAGAAGTTTAACGTTAAACAAGCTGTAGACTTCTTGGTGGAGGCATGGGATCTGCTGACTATTGCTACGATTCGTCACGCATGGAGACATGTGTTGCATGGCATACCAGGTGAGAGGAGGAGTGAACCTGTGACTGATCAGGTTCAGACTGTTGCAGTAGCAGTGGACCTTGCCAGAGAAGCTGCACTCAATATTACAGCTGAAGGCTTCTCCGAGACCACCAACGAAGACATCCTGGAGGTGATCAAAGATCCTGAAGTGACTGCCGACGAGATGTTGGAAGAAGAACACGCCAGTGAAGAGGAGGAAGACGGTGCGTCATTCTCCGAAGAACCTAGTTTAAGTCATAGTGATATTAAGTGTGTCATAGAGTTTACAGAAAAAATTAAGTCCGTCCTTTCCCGCGACAATGACGATGAACGCTATGAAGTCTTCCATACCCGACTGGTGCAGGCTATGGAGCCGTACATCAAGGTGTATCACGACAACATCAACACCAGCCGTCAGCAAAGCATAACCGAGTTCTTCGCCCGCAACCCACCACAGCCAGCCCAAGCCAGTGATAGTGAAAGTGAAGTTGACTTTGAGGGATTTGTCAGGGAAGCCCTGACAACTGTAAGTGACAGTGATGTTGATTCACCTAGTAATGGTGATTCACCTGAGGGCCAGTAATCTGCCCTCTGCCTCGGAACCAGCCTCCATCCCCGTATGCCGACCCATCTCTTCTACTACCGTAAGTGTTCCACCTAACTTTTAGTTTCTCTTAGGTAACCTTCATTTTTCCTATGTTAACCTTTATCTTTCCTAACCTAACCTCTTCTATATTACTTGTTTTTTCATACCATCATAAAGTTAAGATAGAATTTTTACTACAACATAGTTATGTGTCGTCAAAAAGTGGAGTTTGGGGGTCGGGCTGGGTTCTATTGGAATTAATCCCATATGTTCTGTTGTTCACTTAACGCGGATTTCACTTAGCACGGGACCCTCTGGGTTCAATTGACCGCGTTAAGTGGGGTACAACTGTAGTCCCATGTTATGATTTACAACAACAAATGCAGGTACCATGACAAAACAGTGTTCTTATACACAGTATTGTCCCATTTATTAAGACTATATGGTACATACGACTGCAGATGGCAGCATAGTTCTATCCAATTATTTTTGTTTCTGTTTTCACCTGTTTACCTAAACAGTATATATTTTATAAAGTGTACAGTTTTTGTGAAATGTTTAATATTGATTGGCTAATTATCATACTGTGAATAAATTCATTCTGTAGAAGTGCAATGATAATACAGTATGAGCACCTGGAAATGACTACCATTGATTCACTGCCTATTAGGAGCCATGCCAAAGTATCGTCTGTAAAGATCTCTTCTTACCACATTACTGTATTGTCTGGCATTTTCACAATTTGCAGTTATGCAATTAATAATTAAACATTCAATATTGAAATTACATTATTAATACTAAATTCTAGACCATAAAAAATGAGAGAAAAAATCAGAGGGGAACTCTGGCTGTGGTTGAAAATGTGACCGTACTTTTACCGTATAAACCCCTTCACTACAGGGACGGCACTTTAATATTTCATTTGGCTAATACCAAACAATTTTATTCAGCTCAGAGGGGTTAAGGAAGCCCATTCTTTATTGTACAGCACTGTACTGTTTTTTGCTTATACTGGCCTTTCCTAGAAATGCAACCTCTTGCATAAACAAAGGAAATCTGTATAAGAAGCATAAGACAGAAAATACAAAAAGACAGCCAAAAGGAGACAGGAGTTCCATGAGGAATGATGAGGTTGATATATTCAAAGTAAGTTTGAACGAGATTACAGTGAAAATTGAAAACAAAGAAATATAACACAATGTGGTGTGACTACATATAACCACAAATGGTTTGACCTATCTTTACCGAGTTAACCTAACCTGCTATCTTTCTAACTAATTTGGCCGGTGAAATCTTAAGTCATCGATTCATCATAATTTTCACTAATGTTTTATAGTTACTTTTCACACTTTGTCAGTTAGCCATAATTACCTGATGGCATATCTCCAAGTCGTACAATCTCTTGCAACCCATCTAGTCAGGTGCTTATACCCGATGACATTTTTCACAGCCTTTCCTCATGTCATTCTCCTTCTTTCCACATTAAAATTCTTGCATCTCTTGACACCAACTATTCTTCTCCTTTCTCGTCAAATGCCCAAACCATCTTGGCTTACTTCAATGTAAAACCTCATCAATACTCTCAATACCTGGGCACCTTAATTCTGCATAGGGTTCCCTATCTCTCATCATCATATTGCACATCTGTCCCACCATTCTCATTTAATTTCAACCAAGTCTACATCTGCCAGCCTCTTCAGCTGCCCTACATATTTTCTTATTGCCTATAAAGTCAGGTTAGAGTGACTTTACAATGAACTTAAAGGTCTATCAACTCTTTAAATTTCTTCCTGTCCAATCAATCATGATACAGTACAGTACACTGCATTTCAAACTCAACTTGGCCTAGCTATATCCCAGTAATTGATTGAACAAAATACTGTACTTTCAGATATTTGAAAAGTAGGTCACAGTGGCCTTGGATTAACCTAGATCACAGGTCCACAACCTGTATACAGTAATCGGCCACATTACAAACAAAAAACCAGAAATCAGCTGCAGCCATCACGCAATGTAATTATGCAATATTGTATGTTTTAAATTCAAAAGAAAAAAATAGCATGAATTTAAATATTAAAAATTACAATGTTGTACTGTTATAGAACTAAGCAATATACAGCATTCAGACAAGTACAGTTCTGGTATAAAAGACAAAAACTAAAGTAACCAATGGGTGGCAACAAACATTATTGCAACATAAAATTATGTTTTACACTGAACAACAGAGAGGAAATGGTTACTAAAACTCACATGAAATCTGAGACTGAATATCCTCTGCAATCTTTGTGGATCTGGTTCAAATTAAGTAAAAGCTGTTTCCACAAGTTCCTTTGTGTGAGTGTTAGTGAGCTTTGAGGAACAAATCTTGCTTTGAATCTCAGAAAAACTATGTGAATTCTAATTGTATCAGATTAGCTGTTTGCTGCATTAAGTGTTCAAACTGCCTTATCTTACCTTATCAATTTTGCCAGCCGTTCATAATGTATTGTCTAATGGTAGACCCAGCTATCATATGGCATCACGAAAATTGTGACCAAGTCCCAGGTTGCTGATCTGACTTTCTGCCTCATTAACACACAATTGCAGGGTCTCAATTGTTGCTCTTTCTTTAACACAACATACCCTGTATATATCGATTCTCACTCTTACTTTTTGTAATTTTTTTTTCCATTTCTGTATTTATTTTGGGTTCAATCCCCCCACCAGGCCCCTACTTGGGTCAGTGACCTGTGCCTGGGTGGGCTAATTCCCCTAAAAAAAAAATAAAATAAATAAATATAAAATACCTGTACTAATAAAAAAAAATGCATCATACTGGCCGTAAATACAGCACGTACTGTATAAATTTTCTGGCCACATGCGGTCGGATATACCGTATAAGCGTTGTGGACCTCCGACCTATTGTTAATTAGCTCTATATCTCTGGTTAGTAAACGTATCCGTTTTAACTTATCTGCCAATACAGGTTGACAATCCTTTATCCGAAATCCTTGGGGCCAGAGGCATTTCGGTTTTCGGAATTTTTCGGTTTTCAGAATGGTTAATTTTTTTTTATGTGTATTAGCCCACCCGGGCATAGATCACTGACCCACATTGGGGCCTGGGGGTCTAAAATATAATAAAAATTATAATAATAATAATTCATAGGTCTAAGTCGTGTTTCTCACTTTTGATCTTTTTTTCATTCTTGTATTTCTTTACTGTATTATTATTTTATTATTACAGTATTATTGTTATTATTATTATTAATTTTATTATTATATTTTATTATTATTATTGTAATCATTATTATTACATTTTGGTGTATTTTTATTAAAAATTTTATTTACTACGAATAATTATTATTATTATAATTATTATTACTATTACATTTTCACCCCCCCCCCAGGCCCCGATGTGGGTCAGTGATCTATGCCTGGGTGGGCTAATAATCCCTGTAAAAAATTACCCACAAAAAACTTTCGGTTTTTAGAGCTTTTCGGTTTTCGGATAAAGGGTTGTCAACCTGTACCAAACTCTGACATGCACTGGATAAAATGTCTGAGGAGGAAGAAAAAAAAAAGGAAGCTAAAAGCAATTAGTCACCGTCATTATGGGATAGTGAGAAAATAACAGTTGTCAGAGATGAAACATTCCCTATTGTCCTGAAGAGTTGAAGCTAATTCTCACTGATATTTAAATGTATCTCTCTTCAATTATAAAACCCACCTTTCAGATAAACATATCATAATTAACTGGTTTCTTATTATTCCCCAACTAACCCACCAAGAATCCGACTTGTAAAATCAACTGTAGCTACATCCTGGAACCCTCTGAAGATGTCGGCATAAAAATAAGTGACAATTCTGTTAAACATCAAGTGGTTTGAGTTTTCATGGTTATGTGACATGAGAAGAACAAAATTAAAAGTACAAAACAAAGTTCTCCTTACCATTCAATCATCAGCAACCTGTTGAGGCAGTCCTCCCCACAGCCAACTTCACCACGTTCGATCTCCTCCTTTGTGAGAGAGCAGTCACACACCATACGTCGCACCTCTTTGCTACGCTTGCTCTTCTTTCGCTCCCCAATGTACTGGTTCTCCACCAGATGTTGGAAAGATTTCATCCTCTCCTCTACAATACACTTATTCCTCATTGCCTTTTCTTCTAACTCAATTTGCCTTTTCTTTTCAATTTCCAACAACTCCTCAGCAGTTAGGTGTAGTTCTTCAACCCCACTACCAATTCTAGTGCCTTTAATATCTTGTTCATCATCACAAATAGGAACTTCTTCAACTTCGCTTCCAGTACTAACCTCCTCCATTTTTGGTTCACTCCCTGTAAGAAGAACCTCTTCAACCCTGCTTCCACTGCTATTCTCTTCATGTTTTGGTTGAAGATTCTCTTTATTGTTTTGAACTTCAGCTGCTAAATCTTCATTATGAAATAGTTTCACATCTTGAACCAGCTCATCTTTGGCTGAGTTAGCACCATCACCAGCCTGGATTTCATCAGTCTTACCCAAACTAGACACTTCTGAATCCAAATGTTGAGTAGATTTAGAATCACTACTGTGAAGACCTGAGCCTAAATTGTCCAGTGAACTTTCAGGACACTCTTTAATTATGTCCTTATTTCTATTCATGCCAAAATCAGTCTGAGGACTTCTCATTTGTTTCTCAAACTGGCTAAATTTTGAAGAAGTTGTAGATTCTGGCCTTAACATAGTCAGAGCTGGTATGTCAGTAGATGGACTGTCGAACTCAGTTTCCCCACCTATTAATGGAATAGATGATGCACCTACTGTAGGCGGCATAAAAACATTAGAAAACTTCAAATCAGTAACTCCACTGCTGTCTCCTTTATATTTAAAAATATTAATGGAATCCTTAGCCTCCTTCAAAAAACTTAGCTCTTCTTTCAAAGCTGTTTCATGAGGAAGCTGCACATCCTCATAAGCCGTGTGTGTATCTTTTTGACTTTTCAAAGTTAACCTTGACTCGGTACTTCTCCAAAATAATTTTTTTTCATTATTATCTTTAGAAGCTGACACCGGAGTTTCTTCATTTGGTGCAGTAGAGTTATCGTGAGGTCTGCGGATGGCACAACTTTTTTCATTCCTTCCAGGATATGCCCCTGTCGGGAGGGGTATATCTAATGCAGAAATTGAAAAACAGTCAACAGGCTGTGAACCTCGAGACACCCCTACAACACTGTTACCTTCTTCCATTTTTGGCACATCCACATTTGGCACTTCTATCTCAGTTGCTTTCTTTTCTTCTGTTTTTCTTCTTTTTCTTAAGTCATCATCTTTGGGTTCAATTGGCCGTTTTCTCTTCTGACCATCATCAGAATCAGGGTCCACACTGTCAAGTTCATTTTTCGAGTAATCTTCTCTCCTTTTCTTCATTTTTGGAGAGTTCAGCAGATCCCCTTTGTCATCATTTTGCTTTTCTTCATCAACTCTGTCCCTCTTTCCTTTTGTTTTAGAACTTGACTCAACTTCAATAACTTGCCCTAATCTGCTCTGAGCCTCCTCATTCCAGCTCTGAGTATCTTCATGAGGAACTACACCTGTCTTACTAGAACTAGAATCTTCACATAACACATTTGTATCTTCTGCAATGTCAGTTTGACCTAGTATTGTCGATTCCATTTTCAAATCAATTACTTTCTTGACTACTTTCACTGATTTTGAGACCTCCACTTTAGAGAGAGTTTCACCAACATCCTTTGTTCCCTCCCCCAGGCCCTTACTCAACACGCATGCTGAGCTGCGTCCCCTGCGTCTGGACGGAGTGGGACTATCACTATCTGTGGACTCGGTACTACTATCTTCCTTGACAGGCCTTTTCCTACCTTTGGGTGACTTTAAACTTTTTGCATTACTATTTGTTTTATCCAATTCTGACTTGAAGACATCAAAATCTTTACTTTCTTCCTCTACAGAGTCAATCTGAGGTTTATTTGACTGGGGTACACTCTCTTCTCTGGAACCCATCTCTTTATTATGACATACATCCATCAAAGCATCTTGTTCCGGGACTCTAACTTCACAATAATCTACAGAGACAGAATCAATGCTTGAGCTAGTATCAGGGGAGATATGTAAACTAATGTCTTCTGAATAAATATCACCATTTGTAAGACTCTCCATTTCCTCATTTTCTACTTCCTTGTCGAGTTCATCCACAGTCTCACTCTTTGCTCTTATAACAAGTTTCTGATCCTTCAGGGTTGTTTCATCTTTTATCTCATCATAATCTACCTCTGCATGCAAAGTGCCACTTTCTTCTTCGTTTCCAACATCTACACGAAGAGTGCCGGTAACACTTCCTTCATTATTTCTACCCTCTGAGAGAAAACTATTACTTTCTTCATCATATTCACCCAATGATTGCAAATTATCATTTTCTTCATCATTTCCACCCATTGATTGCAAATTATCATTTTCTTCATCATTTCCACCCATTGATTGCAAATTATCATTTTCTTCATCATTTCCACCCATTGATTGCAAATTATCATTTCCTTCATCATTTTCACCCATTGCTTGCAAATTATCACTTTCTTCATCATTTCCACCCATTGCTTGCAAATTATCACATTCTGCATTTCCACCAATTGCTTTCAAATTATCACTATCTTCATTATTTCCACCCATTGATTGCAAATTATCACTATCTTCATTATTTCCACCCATTGATTGCAAATTATCACTATCTTCATTATTTCCACCCATTGCTTGTAAATTATCACTATCTTCATTATTTCCACCCATTGCTTGTAAATTATCACTTTTTTCACTATTTCCATCCATTGCTTTTATATCATCACTTTCTTCATTATTTCCACCCACTGTATACAAACTAGAATTTTCTTTATTATTCTCACTGACAGTTTCATCACTTAAAAATTTTTCTCCATCACTTGTAGCTAGATCACTACCTTCTTTGTCATAAATGCTTGTTTCACTATTAATTTCGTCATCTATATCACTTTCATTAATATTTTTTTCTTCGGTGTAATTTTGCCTGCCTTTTTTGTCACCTTTGAATGCTTCACTGGTTTGTTTTTCTACAGGAAATTCACTGTCTAAGTCCTCCTCTACATTTTCACTGTCTTTACTGTCACTTTCAACACTAACTCTGGAAGGGTCATTGGTAACTTCCACTTCTTTCTGGACAGATTCCACTGGATTTGTCTTGGGGTTGACATTTACCAGTTTACTTTTATCACCTCCATTGTTTGCTCCATCAGTCCCATCTGCATCACCTCCCTCAACATTCATACAGATTTTTTCTTCTGAAAGAGTGACAGAATTCCCATCTTCACTTAGGATTCCACTATCACCCATCGCCCCTTCCCCTTCACTCTTTTTGCCTTTGCCTTTTTTTCGTCCTCGTTTTTTGATGTCTTTGGGAGGACTTCCCCCCACCTCATCCTTCTTTGCACTGCTTCTTGTTCTTCTTCCCATTTCGCCAGTTTTTTCACACTCGGATTGTGCGTTACGGTCAACAACTTTTTCATTCTCACTCTCAAGGCCATTTACTAGAGCTTCAGATTCTGCAACAAAAACTACAGTGGACACAGCAGCCTCAGATTTTCTGGATAGTTCTTTTTCGTCAACTGTCAGTTCCAAAATTTTAATGGAATGAGCATCCTTTTTATCAGTTTGTGATTGACCTGCTGGGACCTCTGGTTTATTCCTTTCAGTTCTCTCATCACTATCTACTTCATCACTTTTTGCCTCACCACTCTCTTCACTACGACTGTCCTTTCTCCTCCCAGCCTTTCGAGGACGGCCAGGGGGAGATGCTAAAAGAGTGGGCGTGGGAGTCTCTGGAGAGGCTAAGCCAGTGACAATTTTTTTAAAACGGCCATCCAACTCATCATCAGCAAACCGGGAGTTTGGTTTTCTTGCCCGTGACGATCGTCGTACAGGGGTGTTGCAGTCTCCCGACTCCCCATTCATCGTGCTCACCAAGTGTCTGCCATTCAACTGACACAGATATACTGTGTTTGTTCTCCAGCCACTCCCTATAATACAAAAGAAGAGAAACATGAATAAGTATCTAAAAATACACATCTAATAAGAATTATATATACTGTACTGTACTGCATTTCCATGTCAAGACTGTTTTAAGCCAATTTTCTGATCCCATGGCATGATTCCTATGACAAGAGGAAAAGCTTATTCCTACATAATTGTTTTTTCTTCTCCATTATACTGCCTTTTACTTCTCCAACTGTAAAGATAGGCACCCAATCTGCACCTGGGTTACCCGGGAATGCCCCAATCAGTAGCAGGCCACAAGACTCAAACCGGTGATTGTTGGGTCGGGAGGGAAGTGCTATGTCCACTCAGCTGCCAATCCCATACACACTCATGATTAAAATTATCCTAAAAATTTCTAGACAAAAATCCTGAAACTCACCATTTGCACAACAGACACTGCATTTCGCATTCCCAGATCTACAGCATCTTCCTATAAGCAGAGTTAAATAACAACCTCTGCACTACCCATGAAATGAAGTACTGTACCCTGTACCATAAATTCTCAAACTACAGTGATCCATATTCTAGAAATAATATGAATACACGAATAAAGAATACGAAGATAGAATAATAATTCGTGCATTTTGTTTTCCATATACTGTACAGTACATCTTCAGAATGAGCAAGGAAAACTTCATTGTAATGTTTGGTAGATTGGCAGTGCATGTTAGAGCATGACCGACATTGTTTAAACTTGCAACCACTCCATGGATGAATGTAAGACAGTAAAAGCACTCAAGTATTTACAGAGGAAATACTATAAATGCAACATCAATTTAAGTACGGACTTAAATTGAGTTTTGTGAAGATTAAATTACAGAAATAACCAAACCAGCAGTGAAATATGAGGTTGAGAATTTTTTGCAGCTAGCAGTCACAACACCAAGAAACCGCAAAATATGTTAGATATATTGAAACAGTATGATTAGCAACATATCTGTTCAAGCTATCTGAAGTATTCACTTAAAGGCTAACTAAATCGGTACATCTTACTAAAACATGTTAATAGCAGCAGATGATACAGCAGCCAAGTCCCCTTTCCATTTCATCTTTCAACACTTCAGCTCAGACAGAATATTACTTCTGTACTGCATTTTGTTTTCCATATACACTTCTGAATAAATAAGGAAATTTTGGGCTATCTGGGTGCTTCATAGACTGGCAGTGCATCCTTGGTTAGGTAGGCCGGGTTGTTTTGTTGGTTCATGCGCATCGCCAAACTACAGTACTGTACAGAACTGTAATAGGAAATCCTACCTACTATTATTAATATGTTTGTCCTCTTTCAGGATATCATTACTATTATTAGTTATACAATATCTATGGCAACAGTGCTGCTGACAGCTGCCCAGACACAGTTCACAACAGCAATGCTAACAGCTGCCCAGCTGTTCACAACAGCAATGTTCATAGCTGCCCAAAGACTGCTCACAACAGCAATGCTCACTTCTAGAAACACCCAGTTTCCCAGTAACCACCAGAAGTACATGACTTCAGTTCACGTCATATAACATTTTGTAATTTCGCAGCGTTTGAATTGACACGTGGGACTGACTACATTGTTCCCAAGTAGGCATTTATCTTTCACTTCCTCAGACATGCGAGCCTCCCAGCCTACCTTCTCCGCTTTTGTGATGAAGGGATCTTGCCCTTGGACTTGACGTGTCTCACCACATTTTTACCCCCCACCCCCCCAAGCTCAAATGTAGTAGGGGACTCTTGACCATCATCAAATTCGTGATCAATTACTGGAGGCAGTAATAATAATTGTACGTACAGTAAATAGTAATAACATGTTAAAACATATGTCCTGTACCTCACTGCCTACAAATCAGTGTTGATTACCTCGTACTGCCAACTTCACCCCACTGTGTCACACACACGCCTCTTCATGCGCATTCTCGACTTCCTAGTTCCTGTGATGCCAACCTGTGGTAAGTACATGTACTTTTTATATAATGCATGACCAGTTTATAAGATTAGAATTTTTTTTTCATTTTCCCGAATACAGTATACCCACGTGGGGAAGGGGTGTATGACTATCATAGTCCAGGAGCCTAGGGACTAATCAACATCCTGCATTACACCAAAGAAAAATTCACAGTTATGAGGGTAAATGCATCAGTAATACTTCAACATATAGTACTAGAACCACCCTAGCATTTCTTATCCGTTTTCCTATATTTTTGCTTATATAAATTTTAAACACGTAAATACATGTACAGTGTACTGTACTGCAGAAACAGATGGGAGAATTAGAAAATGCAAATGTGAAATTCAGAATCCCACTGAACATTAATATGAAGAACAGTGTCGAGTAAGTTGTTGACATATGGCAGCCTGGAGACTAACAAAAACCAATCTATCCTAATAAAATATAACAAAATAATTAGGTTGATCTGTGATCTTCCATAAAAGTTTTAATGCCTTACTCTTACAGGAAGTAGGTAGAATAAAACTAAAGTGTGACAATCGGTGGGAAAGGGTTGAGATAGGTTTTAACCCTTTGGCTCCTGGGTTCCCCTACGCTGCATAAAATCCCCTGAAAACGTGAGTGGTTCCCATAAGAATGACTGCACATTAGGGACAGTGCAGATACAGCACAAGGTGTACTAAGCCTTCGGTACACAAGGAGGCAGCATGGCCAGTACTGCACTCGACCACATTCACTTTCTTAAGTTGTAAACTTGGGTACCCATTTACAACTGGGTGAACTGGGAGCACCTGGGAATCAAACCACTGACCCCTGAAACGAGACGAGCGCTGTATCCATTCAACCATCACACTAGAATATCATCTACTGGTAGGCAAAATAAAATTCTAAAGTGCAACAACTGTCAGGAAAGGATTAATGTGCACATTGTGTTATTCTAAGTTTGTTAAAAAAAATTATTCTTGTCCCCCACCTGTGTCTGAACTTCAAATGGGGCTCAGCAATTTGTTTAGAATATATATATATATATATATATATATATATATATATATATATATATATATATATCTATGATTATTATTAAGATGATTTAAGTACAGGATACCTCATGCCACACTCCATAAGAAAATCAATATTCTTTTTACTTCAGTTGAGGATAACTTAAATGGCCAAAGAGGTCTGCTGGATTCACATCGCTCAATTTCTTCAACTGGGGTCAACTACAGTAAATGGTTCTTCAATGCTCTTAGTAAATGTCAGATTTCAGATGACCCCATGAGAAGAAATTGAGAAGGGTGGGGTCTAGTGACAGCAGTACCCAATCAATTGGTCCTTGTTGCTCAATCTTCACTGATTTGCTATGATTCTCTAAACCGGAAAACAAAACAAAAATTTATTTTCTTATGGTGAAGACCTCGGAGACACCCTGTACAATACAATTCTACCAATGTAAACTTAAGAAAGAATAAATTTAGGAAAAATCCATAGCCATCTTTCCTCCCTACACATACTTTAGTACAGTATACATAGATTTTCAATACCAAATGGATATCACATTTGTAACATGAATACAGTAAATGAATTTCAGCTTCTCCATAACAAGTCTAACCAAATCTAAACTACAGCATTGGTTTACCTTTAGTTAGATTACAATGGCTCATTCCAGGCAGTCAAAAGCCCTGCCACAACTAATCGTACATAGATGAAGAATTGGCATTCCTTTAGACATTTTATATTTACAGTACTTTCAATAAGTTCACACCAGGGTTTTCTTTGTTCTGCCTCCAGGATTGCATTATACTGTATGCCTTTAAAACTTTTGGAGTAAAATGGCAGAATCATTCTCCACCTTTCTCTCTGAGTACTAAGTAGCTGGTGGAAGAGATATATTGTATTCAAAACAATATTCATAAGAGTTACAGTTTTATAATTATATTTGCCTGCTACTAATTACCCTTTAGTTCCCTAATCATTAGAAATCTGTCAATCATCACAATCAGAGATATGAAACATTCAAGGGTAATAGTTAAGGACAATTGCTTGGACTTAATAGGAAAATTTGCAACAATTTTGTTTACAAATTACTAAACATTCCTTTACACTAAAGTAACTGGGTTATGTTAGAAACAAAATACCCCATAATAAAATCAGTTATGCCAGTCTATGAGATACAATACACTAAACTATTTATGAAAGAAGAGATGATATAATCTAGCATGATCAATGATTAGCTATTATTTAGTTACATTACATTAGTTTGGTTCATGTTATTTTTCACAAATGGTTTAATTCTAGTTATTATTCATAAATGCTCTTAACATTATGTGCTGCACATATAGCTATATACACAACTCCATAATTCTAAGTGAATTCAAATTTCGAACTTGTAACAGCTCCCACCAATTTCTGCACCAAGAAACAGTGTTTAGCAATTAAGAATACAAATCTGAAGATTATCTCCTTACAAGTTCAAGCAAGTCCTAAACTACAGCACAATCAGGTGCTAAGTTATATGAAAACATGTTTTTTTAACATTTAAGTCATTCACAAATGGAGAAGGAATCATAAGCCTTAATACATGTATTGGTAAACTAATGCACTAAAAACACATTTAAATCTTTCCAGTAAAAATTTATGCTATTCCTTCATGTAATTATACAAATCAATGCAGTAATGAATAACAGCTACCTTAGTGCTAAGTTAATCAAGTGAATACATACTTAAAGCAAGTTTCCAGGATACTGGTACAAGATTAATTTCCCTGGTTTCACCCCTACAGCTACATACAATAGTCCTAGGTGTGCAAGATGCAACAAAGCAGTACAAATAGGGTCCTATCTTCCCTGCAAGTGAAGGCCAGTCATTCAGAGACTGATCCAGTCCTCACCAAATTACATGCCTTGTCTCCTGGTTGAATGATCTGTATGGCCATTGTGAGGGTAGTATCAGATGTGGAGGAGTGTGGCAGAGGGCCGCGTGTGGTAGCGGCAGCAGCAGCGGCGTAAGTCTAGCAAATGGTGGGACAACCGTGGACCAACCAGGAGACCTGCACCATGGATCTCCGCCTCCGCTACCGTCCTCTCTCATACATTTCTAACTCGCCTGCCGCCAAGACAGAAACTTTTAGATGTAATGTTGCTAGAGATACCTTATCAATGTATTTCGACCTGTCTCATTGCCGTAAATCCGGCGAAAATTCTCTCAAGCGCGCGAACGATTCTTGTCAATGGCTGAGGTAGACAGGTCGCAGGCACCTAACTAGCAACCCTTGCGTTCTTTTGTATTACTATGTTATCTTGCCCCTAAATACGTTTACATCATATTAGACAGCATCCTTATATATTCACAAATACATTAGTGTACTCACCTTCAAATTATCGGTGTTTATATCATAGGAAAGAAAGTATATCGGCGGGTGTACGGCGCGCGGCTCTACTCCGCAGGCTCCCCTTGCTCATCTGTACACATTCAATATGGCCGCGAGTCACGTGACCAGTCCATGCCTGGCGCCTGATTTAAATGTCCGTATATCTCCCTCCATGTATTTTGTTATTTATAAATCCATGAATTTAAATTCTATAATTTTTGCTTACACAATGTTATACTATTTATGACATAACTCTCCTTACAAAAATATTCGAAAATAATTTTCATGCATTTCTTCTTTATCAATAGGAAATTTGTATACAGTACAATAGTTGAAAACTCTCTCCACACGGAGAAGAAAAATAATTGCAGAAAACGAAAAACAACTAATAAATTAATAATTTCACTTTCGCTAATGTGATTACATACCAGCGTGAACTGTATATACCAGGAAGACTGAAACATCAACAAAAAGGTAAATTAAGACTCTTTACACCTGGAGGTGAGTACAACATTCCTGTTATTGATTTTGTAATTGTTGCAGCTGGTCACCGTCGAGGTGTGTGGATACACCAAGGCTCGTTGGACACGCTCTCTCTCTCTCTCGCTCTCTCTCTCTCTCAGGGTAATTATAGTACGGTACATACATTTGATTATCATTCAATAGACAAGATACAGAGTACCGATAGCAATTGTACGTATTTACTGTTGTTTATTATGAATACTAAATTTATAATCTTCCTTATATTTACACTTACAGTACATAGTTTTCTTCATGTTCAAGTTATTAGTAAAAAAATGGAAACAATTTTAAAATTTCTGAAACTAGTCTGTGTTTAATTCTTCATTAGCACTTTCACTTTGAAATTCAAATTTGCAATTGAATAAAAAAAATCCGAAGTAACCACTTCAAAATACCCCAAATTTGTATTTATTATTTTTTTTAATCGAGAAATGTTTCAAATTACCTAAATTTTGGAGAGGACCATCATGGTATTAGCCGCAATACCGTGTAAATATTTCAGGGAAATCGGGTAAAAAAAATAAAGTCATTCTTCCTACTTAAATTTCATAATTTTTTAAGGGCTTGATCAAATTATCCTCAAGTTTAATTTCAATATTTCCATTGTTATTCAATCGTTCCGTATTTATCAGTTAAACTGAATGTTCATAGATTTAACCTTCATGGATGTTAGCATTGACTATTAGAAATAGTTTGATTCCTGTACAGTGTATTCGTAAATTATTGTGTCCTCCGTCTAACAGGTATATTTTTTTACCACCTAGAATATACAATACTGTATACAGTATCTACTACAGAAGGCATATAAGCACAGTTAATTTTTCTTTTTTTATACCCTGTTGCTAAGCGCCAAATGCCTTCACTACCGTGGCAAATCAACTTTAGAAGCATTATGTATAAGGAAAATTAGTACATCTCTTCCTGTCAAATCAATATGAAAATGCATCCATTACTCAAATAATAAATATGTCTGTTATGATCAGTAAAACTCTAAAATTAAAATTACTCACCGGCAACTTAGGACCGAAAAAAAAAAACATTTTCCCGCTTTTTTTTAACTTTATAATGAATATGAGGGGAAATAAAATATTAGGATATATCTTGTATTTCTGCAGTGAACCAAATTATGTCAAACCAGGTATACCGATGCTGTTGTAGTGGATTTCTCCCCTACAAACGCTGTTTTTCGCTGAGTAGCCGACCCCGCGAATTCCTCAGTGTATGCCTCGTGGTCTAGGTCAACCAGCGCCGCCTTACATGACGGAGGTCAACTACTAAGCCACGCCTACCTCCGCTATTTAAGACCTGACCTCGTGGTGACCTGTCTCATTCTACCTACACCAACCAGCAAGCAACACCTCCTCCTCCTGCCTGGCGGCCCTCGCTCCCGCCGGCGAGAATGGCGACCCACAAGCTGGTCCTCCTCTGAGCACCCTCACCAACCAGCTCTCTCTTCTTCTAGCTACAGCCGCAGCAAGCTACACCACCACCTCCTCCACGCCTGCCTGGCGGTCCTCGCTCCCACCGGCGACCATGGCGACCCACAAGCTGTCCTCCTCTGAGCACCCTCACCAACCAGCTCTCTCTACATCACGCTTGTAACCACGCTGCCACTTCCCAGCACCAAGCTGCACTGTACATCCAATACAACATGTATACAGAGAGCACATTGTGAGTTTCCTTTCTCCATCCCATCCTGAGTGTGAACCCAAACATCTCATACCCCACACTGTATATTCACTGGCTCCAATCGTAATATCATTTGTCAAATCAGGATTGTTGCCATCTGTGTGCTTGAAAGTTAAATTATGACACCAAGTACACAGTAATTATACGTCTCCATTATATTAAAATTATATTCATATGGAGTTTTCACTGATGGATGAAAACGGGAGTCGCAACTTATACATACAGAGGACATTAAGTTACAGATTTGGTTGTCTGAGTATCATTTCTACTTTTACTTTTAACTGTTATCCCTCTTCACCACTAATTGGCACTTTAGCTGCTTGGGCGATCGGTCACGTTTCTGTTACTCACTGTTGGCAAGTACTGGGCATGCACTGGCTCCTGAATTACCTGAACCTGCTCCAATGCCTGTCAAGTCTGGTCTTGAAAGAGCTCACACTCGGCGCCGTCACAACACTCTCCGGCAGATTGTTCCAAGAGTTCACAACTCTCACTCAGTAAAAGTTACCCCTCACAGTTTTCTGGGCTTGCGGCTTCTTCAACCTTAAGCTGTGACCCCTTGTGGGGCGAACGTCCGCCAGCTCCAGGTAAGGGCACTTGACTCAGGTAAGGGCACTTGACTGAGTACGTAGTGCCCTTAATTAACAGCAGGTGGGCTATCCACCTTGCGGAGATGGATTTTTTTGTCTTCCGTCAACAGTGCTGCCTTAGTGGCTCATGCGGTTAGGGAAGGCCGGTCTCAGCCAAGCTAAGCTAAGTTGTTCTATTTAATGTTTCCTCGGGGCATATTATGATTGGGGTGGGGGGAGGGGGGTCCCTCTAGGTCCTTGTGGCACTGGAGGGATGATCCCCATCTTTTTCCTTTTTTAGTTTTTTTTTATTGTGGGTGTTTGTGAACTATTTAGGTCTTTGTTTATTTGTGGGCTCCCTCCAGATCCTTGTGTGACTGGAGAGTTGTGCCCATCTTTTGGTTCTTTTTTATTGTGTATATAGAGGCTCTGGTTCTTCGATATCATTTTTCCTGCTTCTAGGCCACCATCTGTGCGATGTGTTGTTGTTTTCCTCAATTAGTTGGTTTAGTATGGTATCCTGTTCTTGCTGGATTTTTTCCCATATTGCATTTGCTTGGGTGTGTTGAGTGGGTCTATGCCGTGTTCTGTGTGTATGTCTTGTGCTGTTTGTGTGTATGGTGGTTGGTGTTTTGCCGCTCTTCTGAGGGCTATATTTTGAACTGCTTGAAATTTAAGTTGATTTGTTCTTGCGATTGTGTTCAGAGGTATCGGAGGGTATTCTAAGTGTGGTCTGATCAGTGCTTTGTATAGGTGCAATTGCGTGTTGGTGTTTAATTGGTGGAATCTTCAGAGCTTTGTAAGTTGTGATTTTGCCATAGCTATTCTTTCGTTGATGTGGGGGATTATTCCGTTTCTGGATATCTTGAGTCCTAATATTTTTCCGTTGGCAGCATATGGTATTTGTTGGTTGTTGACAATAATAGGGTAGGGGTTTGTTTTTGCGATGTGAATTATTTTGGGTTTTTGGACATTGGTTTTTATCTTCCATTTTCGTTCATAGTTATTTATTATCTCTATTTCTCTGCTTGTTCTAATGGCCATCATTTGTTTGGATTTTCCGGGGTACCTGACTATCTGTGTGACATCATCTGCGTATGCTATATTTTCTGATTGCCGTGGTTGCGGCATGTCTGCCGTGTATACAGTGTATAATGTCGGCGATATATTACTGCCTTGGGGAACTCCACTATGAAGGTGAAAAGTTTGTCCTAGATGGTTGTCGATGATTAATTTAGCCTTTCTGTTGTCTAAGAAATTGCATAGTAGTGTTGTGATATTGGTAGGCATGTCCAATTTGATTATTTTCAACTTCAGTCCTTCATGCCAGACTTTATCAAATGCTTTTGACACATCTCTTAGAATTATATTGCATTGGTCTCTGTTGCTTGCAGCATTTGCAATTGATTCATATATTAGTGCTATTGCTGTGTTGGTTCCTGAGTTTGTGTGGTAGATAAAGAATTTTGCTACATGGTTGAAATGCATAGTTTAGCATAGTTTTCACCTTTAATGGGATTTTCTACATGTTTTGCCTGGAACATTTCTCAGATCCTTGATCAGGATGTAATTGGTATATTTCTTCCCTAACAAAGTCTCAGTTAGGTTATACTAGGTGCAGTCCTCCAAAAAAGTATCGTTACCCATGGGGTGCATGTGGTTCGTGGTTTTATGAGCAGTGTTAGTCCACTAGTTTCGGGACGGTTGGTATAGTCGACGACAGGTATTGATATTCGTACACCATGACAGTATCCACTATGTGGAACAAATTATCTGGCAACATTTTCGTACAGAGACCTGTCATAATTTCAAAATAGCAGTAAGTTAAGTTGTATACCTGCCAATATTTCATAAATACCATACATATCTTGTGTATAGTTGAGTACTGTTGTGATATGGGGATCAGGAATACCAACATATAATGATGCACTGGGAATATCAATGTATTTCATCCAGCATTTCAAATTGTAAAGATTGAAAAGTAATAATTTTTTTTGGGGGACTGTACATTAGAACTGTTTTTATTTATGAAGCAAACAGTGTATTGTATAATTTAAAACTGATTAATTTTTACTTACCACAGGTGCAAGGAATCCAGATAACGTGAAAGTCTTGAGATGTTTGATAGGCTTAGGCTTTTTTTAACATACAGATTGTAGTATTGTACTGTTCCAGTGGACAAAAATATAATTTTTTTTATAATTTCACTTGTAACATACCGTGTCTTGTAATAGAGTACTGTACAGTGCTTTATTCTAGGTTTTGGAAATTTTTCTATAGCTACAGGTCAGGAAAGTCTGGGATTTTCATGGTTA